AACCACAAATTTACACCTCCTTCCCCAATAGAAATAAACAGAAGCCCTGACGGGTTCCCTCTCATCCCCCAACCCAAACCTAACCACATTAACCCAAACAACCTAACTATGTGCTATGCGCCTAACTGCATCTCCTGCTGCCTTTTCCGTTTCTCATTCCTCTATCTGGCCAATCTGTGTCACCTCTTACTTCATCACTTTACTAGTGGCACCACATCACACCACAAAGTTTGCAAGAAAAATATCTTCAATATGGTACATGTGTAATCCCACCAAAGCGGGAATAGAGGGACAAAAGCTATAAAATGTGAAAAAATAAGTATTATGCTATATGCCACTTTGTGTGGCGTAGTTTTAGGTCAAAACCTATATTAAAGTAATCGCGTGAAAGAGATCTTTAATTTGAGAAATGGATCAGTTGCATATCTTGATAAAGACAACTGTATACGTGATGCCCACTATAATGCGCTTCTGACTATATATATCATGTTATAAATAAAAATAATCGAAATAACTTGCAATTATTCCACTTGCAACGTGATATTTGATCATAGCCAGTGAAAGCCATGATTCCCGGTAAACTATGACCAAAGTGATCGTAAAGTGAACGGGAATGTGCGGTGAATATTTTAAGGTAGTCATGTAAAGCCATGATTTCGCACAAAATTATGAATATTAAAGAAACTAAGAGTTTTTGAGAACCGAGAATTGTAGCGTTGAAATTGAACTACCAACGCGCTACTTTGCCAGACAAGTTATTAACTCTGGAACCAGTTTGAAAATCATAGAGTAAAATTTTTTCGCGAGTTTGACCCTTGATACACGTTACGGAACCCGAATTTTATGAAATAATTTTTTTGAGAGCGTAGTATTGGCTGGACTTGGAAGATCAACTTCATTAAGAGATTCGAGTCTTGATATTATCTATTACGTTACAATATGACTCAATAATGGTTGAAGGTATTTATTTTATGACCAAGCAATGCGTATATTTAGTTCGTGACCGTAATATGGAATCTTGTCTAGCTGTGGTGTTTGTAAGATTTAGTGTCTTGGAACGAGACAAGGTGTAGCTCCAACGTGATTGGTCGAGCTGCTCCTAACCTCGTTATAACGCGCGCTAAGTAGTCGTGAACGCTGGAGAGTTTGGTATCTTTGGAATTAGTTTAAGATTATTATATTTTTAACTGTGATTAGATTGCCAAATGATTACAAATATGTTGACTTTATTGTATTATATTATATTATCTATTTTTTTTTGCACTTAGGAAGTGTTTACAGTCTGTTTTGTACATTGTAAACGGGGTGTTGAACTAAGCTCATTTTGGCCGAGTTACCCCCTCGTTCTCGTTGCGGGCACTCGGAAGTTGTGTTCTCAGTGGTGCTGGGTTGGGGTGACACGGTTTTGACTCGAATGAGGCAGAGCCAAATTTGGGCTTCCAAGAATAAACTCCACCGCAGTTCTGGGCATAACTCTTAATGAGTTCCACTAACGGACTAACAACGGCATAGGTGGAGTTCTTGGATAGTTCCAGGTTTTGGCTGCGTTGGGCGGTTAACAGCCGTTCAAATCGCATCGGCTCGTACCCGTATCCTTGCTGTCCACTCCTGTAAGGTTGTCAGTTTTGTGGTGCGGCTCGTACCCGTATCCTTGCTGTCCGCTTTTGTGGTCCTCAGTGGTTTATTAGGATTCTTCGACGTTGTATCCCTAAGGCTGAGACTCTGTTTCCCGGAGCTTTTGGACATAATAAATTGTGTGCCTTGTACAGAGGAATTGTGTATCGCCCGAAGATCACCAATATATTAAGAAAAGTTCCTCGTGTTTATTCCTCCTCTCTCCAAACGCAAGGGAATTTAGAGCCGGACCAAAGAGCGACTCTTTAGCTCTTGTGTTAAAACCAATACGCAAGTCACCGTCAAGTCGGCACGCTACTAATAACTATTTTAACTTCGCGGCGGTGTTTCCGGTCACACAAGTGAAGTTGAAACTTTTTGAGATCTAAAAGTTTCATTTAGATAAATTTTCACAAAAGCCATTATTTAAAAAGTTATCATTATTCCACTGGAGCGATAAAATAGCCGGAATTTTGCGAGACAAAACTATAATAATCATTTATAACGTCTCAAAAGAAGTTAGGGGAATGTTTTTTTCATGCACATGAAATACCAGAATTTTTTTCTTTCCTGCTTAACTTTACCGTTTTTCAAGTGATTCTAGTATGGATATTTAGAGCGCTTGAAGATCAGCAATTTACTTGAATCTCATGGCTACATTGACAGGTCAAGATGGATCGCCGCCTCTGGCTTTCACGCATCGGCACTCATTTGGGCCCTCTGATGCTCGATGTTGTTGCTTGCTCTCGCCGCTGGTAGTGTTGCAGGGGAGGTCGATCAGTGATTATGCCAGGAACACGTCAAGTCGTCTCTTGAAGGTCTCCAGGGTGAATTCCCCCTCTATTAGATCCTTTGGTAGGACGTTGAACAGCCTCCGCCTGCCACAGAAAGTGATCCTTCCCGCAGGGATTGAAAATATGGCCGCAGATCTGTTACGTAGGAGGGGATCTTGCACAGTCTCCCCCTTCTCTCGTTATGAAATTTAACAATCCTGAAGGTCTCGCTCTCGAGGTATGGTGTCATTCTGGGTATAATTTTCCATGCGTACAGAATGACATACTTCTCCCGTCTCCTCTGCAGTGAGTACAGACCCAGGCGCTTCAACTTCTCCCAGTAGTTCAACTCCTCTATCCCTCTGATCCTGGATGTGAAGGTTCGTAGGACCCCTTCCAGTTGCCGCACAACGTCGAGTGTGAACGGGGTCCAGAGCTGGCAGCAGCATTCAAAGATTGGTATTACAATGGCTCTAAAGAGTGTGATCATCGGTTCCGCTTATCTTATTCCACCCTTCCGCTACCTCTGTATCTCAATACTTCAAACTTGGTCCCGTTGAACTGCATGTTGTTCGCTTGGGCCCATTCATATAATGCAGAGAGGTCTTTTGCAAGCTATCACAGTCCCTCCTGTCTTGCAAGCTCTCGCAGTCCCCCTGATGGTCATTAGTATCCTGGTGTCGTCCGCGAATGACGATGCAGTGGCGGGATTCACTCCCGCATCTATGTCGGCAATGTGAACGAGGAAGAGGATTGGGCCTAATACCGTTCCCTGTGGTACTCCACTCTTCACCCTAGCATCGCTCGATCTCGAGCCTCCAAAAACAACAGCTTGTAGTCTTTCTGTTAGGAAGCTGTCGAAATATGCCAGAAACTCACCTCCGACCCCCAGTAGACTTAATTTTCTGAAGAGCACTCCATGATCAACTTTGTCAAACGCTTTGCGAAGTCCAAATACACCACGTTCACCCGGCCCCCTCCACCAGCATGTCCAGGATTTGGTGGTGATGTTCCAGTAACTGAGACAAACAGAGCGATTTCGTTTAATACCTTGTTGCCTTCTGTTGAAAAGGTCAGCTTCCTTCATGTACTGCAACAACCTTCTCAAATATTTTGATTACGTGTGATATTAATGTAAACGGCCTGTAATTTTGGGATTTATCTCGCTCACTTCCTTTGTAGATTGGGGTTATTAGCCTGAATTTTAGATCACTAGGAATGTTTCTTTCTCTTAATGATGTTTTCTAGAGCAAAGTCAGAGGGACCTTTAGTGTACCGACACATTTTTTCAGTAACAGTGCAGTGACCCCATCTGGCCCGGGAGCCGAATAAACCGATAATTCTTGGATGCTCCTCTCAAGATCCGGTGTTTCAAACTCAAAGTTCATCAGCACCGGCCCCCTTAGAAGTTCTTGAATGCCTCCAGTTTCGTTCTCCTGTTTTTATCGAGATTTGCTGAATTCTTCTTCGAACTGCGCTCCTAGCAGTTTGCACATGCCCTGGTCGTCTCCAATTGGGATATCGGTATTTTTCAGAGGCCCTACTTCAACCCAACCACCGGATACCACCCTACCACCGTATACCACCCTACCTACATATACCTTCTCACCACCGTATACCACCCTACCACCGTATACCTCCTCACCATCGTATACCACCCTAATACCGTATACCATTCTACCACCGTATACCTCCCTACCACCTTATACCACCCTACCACCTTATACCACCCTACCAGCATATACCACTTTTCTCGAGGAAATTACTCACTCTGTCACTCTGTCTGTAACCCAAGCACCTCTGTGGATGGCATAAACGACATTATAATAGCTCCAACTGTATATATTCCTTATTATGATTCAATATGTTAATATGGTCAGCTCTTTGAACAGTCATGACTCAGATACGAGCATGAGAAGATGGGTCAGCCATGTCACTTACCGTGGCCGTAACTGAAAGGGACCGCTGAGGAAAATAATCTTTCATTACGATGATATCCTTATGAATGTTTAGGATCGTCTTTAGTTCTATAATGACACAAAGGTCACATATTAATTGATTGCCTAGGATGATTGTTGGTTGCATCGAAAAAGACATGAATCGTGTGCGCTGATGAATATCTAGGTCTACATCTAAAAATAAATTAACATGACTGTAATTTCTATAAGCTATGGGACTCAAAATTATCACGTACTACACTTGAAAATTTGATCATGATCAAGCCGATCAGACTGTAAAGAATTCCGGTGCTCTTTCGAACTTCATTATTTCCCCTTCATTTCTCGTAAGTCGTGTGCGCACTCCAGTTTCGTACCCGTCCCTGGATAAGTAGATATTTGTACAAAAGTGGCGTGCTAAATCAGATACCTATATGACTTCTAGTCGAGTGAACGTGTTTTCACCCCTACCTTTCCAACGCCCATAATTTTGAACGGCATTTAAAATTTTTGTGCACAGTTCCTTTTCCAAATGAAAAATACTCAATTTCATACAGCAACATCTGTTAATCCTGCCTGCCAAATGTGTGCCAAGACAGAATCTGTGCTAATGAATCCACAACGACACGCTAGTAAAAAATGACGCACATTTTGCGAGAGGAAAGAAATAAGTATGACTGACTTCTACACTTTATATTCACACTTTCATAAATATTTATAAATAATACATAACACTCATCACAAGTATCGTTGTTAAACGACCATCATATCATTCATGCTTCGGAATCTCGACCAAAAACAGAATCTGTCGGCGAGTCCTTTGGTAGCGCTACAGTGGACAGAGACGTCTCGATGAAATCATCATCTTCCTCATCCACGCTCGGCAGAGATATCGGTGCAGCGGAAGACCGACGCCGTCTACTGATATCTTCATTTTCTACCTCTTCATCGCCAGCAGAAAAATTTGAAGAAGTGGTCGACTCCCTTCTTTCCATCTGACTTATTGAGTGAACAAGTCTGGGTCGGACTGTGGTTTCCTCCGAGTCATGAGGTGATGGATGTAAATGAGTAATATTGGTTACTGTGGTTGCAACGGACATATTTCTTTGTTTGTTGACATTGCGCACCGGATACTTTGATGATTGCGTGGTCATCGAGATACCGTCACCACTTGCTTGGTATGAGTTATTATTTCTCGGTGGTTGGGATCTTTCTGATTTCCAAATTGATGAAGATGTTCCTTTGAATGTTCCAATGGCTCTGAGTATTTTGCTCCTCATTTCTGTAGTCATGACGAGGATGAAAAAAATTCCGAATCCTCTAAGAGAGTTTATGGAAGCTGGTAAGTACCAAAGGTAGTCATGCCAGCGCTCCTGCTGCAGAGAAATATACCGCGGAACTATAAAGCCTATGACCTCTAGTACCCACGTCAGGCCTGACCACAGCACCAGTCGTACCGACTCCGACCACCTGCACAAAATTAAAACTTGAAACTCTACACTGAAACATCGAAATTTATATGTTTTGAAATGAGCAAACCGTATCATCTGCTATGGAGGATCCGATTTATTCATATATACTTTTGTCGAATCTTGTGTATTTGTAAGTCGCCAATTTTGCGCGTGTGTTAAGACACCTATTCATGATACTTATCGCGTCAGAATATTTAATGAGACGTCAAAACTGATTGTGGAATTGTTAGATTAAAAAATTTAAAAGTACTTTTTCCTTTGGTAAGTGTGATTTTTTTTGGATGAATGGAAACTTAAACCCGTTAAGTTTACAACGGGAAGAAAATCGAATTTCCATGCAAATTTTGGGTCGAAGCACATCTACCTTTCTCTAGCGTATTTTAGTTTTAAAGGTCTTAACTAATCTCATTAAGACATGGTTTGGAAGAACGGGTTTCGAAAAGGCATGATTCACGATGATGAAATTCAGGGTGATGGTATTCGGAAACACGAAATTCGTTAATTGTTGGGAAAATCTTGTCCGGACAACGCCGAGTTAACCTACTAGTTTCGAATGAAAATAGTACAAAGAATGGAAGATTGCTATGGTGAGTCTACTTGACGTTTTCTCTGCTTTTAAACTCTTGGTGGACTTACAAGTTTCTATTCTGGTGCGTGCGGAGGCCACTATGTCCAGCGCTAGGAGCCTTGCTGATGGTAGACTTCATGCTCTTGCCCTCGGGGCTGGTCACGACTGAACCCTCTGATGAGAATGAAAAAATATTTAAATTCTGCTTTATAATATATTTTAGATAGGTATTTGGTGCGGGTATTGTGTTTATGTTTAAAGCTTGTTCGCTTAAATTTATATGGGTTAATACTTTGGCTGAACTATTATTTTTGGTAATGGAATCAAGAAACTCTGCAAAATAATGAAGTTAAATTTAAGAACTAATTTTGAATTCTTAAATTTCATTCAAAGATTCAAATTAATTGTACTGCCTTTAATCAATTATTGGTTTCATGTCGCATTTGAGTTTCAATAGGTATTTCTTTAATTAACAAAATTTAGAGCAAATGCAATGATTATAACAGATCGACGAATTAGACAGCCATGTTCTTCCACGTGCAACACCAGTTAAGCCTGCCTGGGGTTATATTGCTATTAAACAACTGAGTGAATTATTTCGTGATTTTGGCAATTTATATCAGTTCAATGCACTGCCGACATGATTTAATAGATAACTGTTAACTGTAATAGTATCGGTTGAAATTCTAGGCATCCGTTGCTCCATCAGTAGCTGCCGTTCTCTATTATGGTTCTTAGTTCCGACTCAATGACACATGGATAAGCTACTGAACCTTCAATAAACACATAAATATTCATTCACTCCAAACCACACTTTCTCATGTCATTAAATCGTAATCAATGCATGTTCTGTTATGCATGACAAATACAGCTAACGATTTTTGTAGCAGTTAGACTTCGCATAATAACATCACAATTTATTGCATGAATGGAACTGACACAGTGACTAATATTGGTTTATTATACATTATGTATTGGCCTTAAAGGAAGCAATAAATAAAATAAATAAATAAAAAACTTTAAAAAAACACGTTTTCTTAACGGACAAAAAAGAAAAACATTAACTCTTACATAACATTAAAGTTCTTTCTTTAATTGGAATTTATGGGAGCCTCTGAAGACTGGTTCAATGCGGCCCCATGTCAGAACAGTTGAAGGATCTTGACTGAATTATGTTTTCTTGTACAAAATTGGGTGCATTGAAAAAAAAAATAACTCAAGATTTCTCAATGGCTGAAGAGTTGCAGAACGGGGCCACCAAAGTGGAGACCACACCGGGGCGGAGAGCACCACTCCAGGGCAGACAGCCCCACTCCAGGGCAGAAAGCCCCACTCCAGGGCAGAAAGCCCCACTCCAGGGCAGAAAGCCCCACTCCATACCTGGGGACACTAACCACTACCTGGGGACACTAACTACTACCTGGGGACACTAGCCACTCACCTGGGGACACTAGCCACTCACCTGGGGACACTAACCTCTACCTGGGGACACTAACCACTCACCTGGGGACACTAACCACTCGCCTGGGGACACTAACCACTCACCTGGGGACACTAACCACTACCTGGGGACACTAACCACTCACCTGGGGACACTAACCACTCTCCTGGGGACACTAACCACTACCTGGGGACACTAACCACTCACCTGGGGGCACTAACCACGAACCCGGGGGTACTAACCATACATGGGGGCATCTTAAAATTTTTGTAACGAAATTTGGCAACTTCGGGGGAGCACAAAAATAACGAATTCAGCAACTTCAGTGGAGCACAAAAATAACGAATTTGGCAACTTCAGGAGTGACACTTCACTTTAGCTGGTCGTACCATGGCATCCGCCGGCTCAACGCCTCGGAGCGGGACAGTACGGCATTTTCAAAGTTCGAGAAAGATTCTAGATAGTTCTAAAAAGGATGACGTAGCAGCCGGCCGAAGCCGGCTACTGTCATGGGAGCTTAGCACAAGGAACCTCTTGCCTCAACGGTTAGAACAGAACCTAACATTAAAGTTATGTTGAATGTTATGTAAGAGTTTTTCTTTTTTGTCAGTTAAGAAAACCTGGTTTTTTGAATATTTTTTTTTTTATTTGTTTTCCTTTATTGTTTTTAGTTTTGTAACCACCAGATAAACGCGGTTTTTAAAAATGTTTTTTATATTTGTTTATTTTCTACTTTTTAGTTTAGCAATTTTAGCAATTCAAATCATTTTCTAGGGTTGGCAACTCTAGATGTTCTACAATTAACTCGATTCTCAACCGTAAATTTTTAGGGTTTTTTATATATTTTTTAAACTTATTAATTTTAAATTTAAAAAATAATTTTTTTCAACTTATTTCTTCTGCATGCCAAATTTCAAGTTTCGAGGATCTTCAGAGGTGCTTAGAAATTAAGGTTCGAATTTTTGACGACAGACAGACAGAGACAAAGCGAAATTAAGAAAAACGTGGTAAAATACTATTAATGAAAAAACTAAACCAAACAAAAATTTAATCTTCAGACATTAATTTTTAAACGTACGTAGAAATATAATAATTTAAATTTATTACTTTATAGTTGAATATAAATGACATTTCTATGAGGCATCAATATACCTACTTGTTCCCGTAAATAAGTGAATTTTCATCTCTGAATGATGTAAATTTATGTTGTATTACTACTATGTTAATATTATAACATACTAAATCAGATGAAGAATCATCTCAAATGTGCTAATATTCAGTATATAAAAATTGCAAGTCTAGCTTTACTGTTGCTGGGGGGTTTGCTGGGTCCCATTTCTAGTCGCTGGAGTTTAGCGAAGCGAGCTTGCTTGGCGGAGAGCAGCAGCACCGTGTTGGCCACAAGGGTCATCGCTATGGGGCCGTAGAAGTAGATCAGCGTTGCGTCCGAGTCTGTAAACGAGGGAATAAACGTTTGAGAATATAAACTCTTGTAGTTTTCTTTCACGCCGCAAAATATCAAAAACTCCCGCGATACTTAAATAAATGTGGTGTTTAATAAAAAGTTCGCCCAAAACGACATGCTTGTTATTCTTTCAAATGCAATTATTGTTATTGGTAAGTTACATTTATATTGCAAAACATAGAATAATTACGCTTGGAGCACTCATTACACAATGAATCACAGTTATCGTCGTTACAATCGTTATTTGCAAAGTTTGTTGCACGTAACATCCAAAAGGATGTTCCGACAAACTAACCAGAGATGACGCTCTAAAGTTTTTTCTGTACAGCGTGTTGCACGAAACGACGCTTGTGATGTTCTAACATCCTAACCAGAGGAAATGCACTTGGCATGACCAACACAGTGCGTTATGGTGCCTCAGGGCAGGCGGCTGATGTTCCAATATACTAACCTGAGAAAATGCACTTGACGTGACCGACCCTGAGCGTTATGGTGCCACAGGGCAGGCGGCTGATGTTCCAACATACTAACCTGAGAAGATGCACTTGACGTGACCGACCCTGAGAGTTATGGTGCCACAGAGCAGGCGGCTGATGTTCCAATATACTAACCTGAGAAAATGCACTTGACGTGACCGACCCTGAGCGTTATGGTGCCACAGGGCAGGCGGCTGATGTTCCAACATACTAACCTGAGAAGATGCACTTGACGTGACCGACCCTGACCGTTATAGTGAAGAGGGGCAGGCGGCTGATGTTCCAACATACTAACCTGAGAAGATGCACTTGACGTGACCGACCCTGAGCGTTATGGTGCCGCAGAGCAGGCGGCTGATGTTCCAACATACTAACCTGAGAAGATGCACTTGACGTGGCCGACCCTGAGCGTTATGGTGCCGCAAGGCAGGCGGTCTCTGACAGAGTCGAGGGTTAGGGCGACGATGGTGATGACGGCTGGCAGTCCCCAGGCCCACAAGCTGTGGTACAGCAGCCGACGGCCTTCAGACACTCTTACGCGACTGCCGGTTAAAAAGTGTAAATTCTTTGTAGTTATATAACGAAATATTTGTCTAACAATAATAAAGTATTATTATAAATATTTTCATTCATTATTATAAATAAGCAGTTTTATTGTAAACCTGATTAAAAAACTATTATTTTAGCGCCAGTGGGAGGTTATAATTCAAATTGAGTTTTGAGCAGCCAAGTAGATATATCATTGATACAAATCGGATAATGTCCATTGATATTATAATTCGAAAAAAATTTCATGTACAATATTTTCAGCTACAAATTTTTATTGATGAATTTAATTTCGTATTTACAATTCAACAAATTCGAAGGCCATTGCCCAATCAAATATTAAACGAATTAGTTAAGTATTTGAATCACAAGTAAATAAAAGCCTGTTTTTAAACACGGTTTGTGGTGCATCAGCCTGCATGACATTCAACTCAAGTCGCGTTTGATGAAAATATCCGAGTCACCATGACTTTGCAGTTCAAAATGTGGCACATTGTGATATTTTGAAATGCAGGTAAACAAGCTTAACGTCGAAAACAGCTTTAAATATTTTTTCTATTTAAGCAATGCAGTTAATGCAGAAAATGCCAGTTTTTTCCGATTTTTTTTCTAAAACAATTTGTGATATAGGTCATATAATAATAGATTTAGGGTACACACTAAATAAAATTAATTGAAAAAGACAACGTGCAATCTCCCAGTATTTTTGTTCTATTTCCGAAAGTTTTAAGCCACTAAAAGTTGCAAGATGATGAGTTTTCGAAAACTGAAAAACGAACACTCACAGAGTGAGGAAGAGTGACTCTGAACAGATGGAGGTGTTCCAGAAGAAGGCAGCCAGCAAGAAAAACTGCACGATTCCAGCTGAAATTTACGAAAAAGAAGCCGGTTTATTAGGTTTGGTACAATATTCTACTTGCTATTTCTAAATTACTGAATTCAACATCTTTTATTTCATCCATAATTGTCAGAATGCAACCCTATAGCTAGTTTTCTTTTATTTTAACATGATTGCGGAAAAATACAAAATACAGTGCGGCACGGTAGTCGCGGAAGAAATTATTTTAATTTCAACTATTTAAAAATTTTATATTCCTATGACATCTAGCTTGTGGCCAATTGAAAAGAAAATCACATAAGTTAATGCTCTTGAATTGCTGATTCGGTAAATCAACGCCCGAATTTCCCAACTGCCAAGGAAAAATTATTTTCGCTGCGCAAAATTCAGAACTTGCAATGTTTTTTTTTTAATCTAGCCCATGTGAATTTCAAACAAGTCAATTTATGTGTAAGCAAAGATTGTTACTTTGAAAAAATCCAGCTGCCGAAACCCATATTCTTCTGAATATATTTTTCAACGGGATTTACAATCCGATGATATCCTGGACAGCAGCCATATTTGCGATCACGTTCCGTAGTCATGACCGAACATGACTAAGAGCTATGTTTCATTTACGGTGGACATGGACAAGCGTGACTCGTTAGTATATTATTTTATGTTCCGTGTCATATTTAAGCCTGCATTCGTTTTATTATTTTGTGTTCCGTGGTCATGAACACGCGTGACTCGATGGTACATAGTTTCATGTGTGTTCAAAAACGTTCTTTAGTTTCAGGAAAGCTATAATTCCGTAAAAGATTTAAGTGATATTGCCCTTTAAAATAAAGACAAAATATTTAAAGAACGATTATTTTCAGCCCAAATTTCCCATCATGTATTATAATCTATTATTGTTGCATAAATACAAATTATACAAATAATTAGCATAATGACTAGTTCACTATGCTTCCAACATCTCATTTTATTACCTTCCTATCAAATCATGCCTATGTTTCAGTGGAATCTTTAAAGTCCCGGTCACTCCATACCACCTTCAAGTCAAATACCCAAAATAATAACACTGTGTATTGTGTAGTCGTATTGAGTGCCATGTACATTGAAACGCTTGCTACAATAATGATCGACACTATTTGTGATGTACTCACATAGCGCCTTGCTCATTGAAGCGCTTGCTACAATAATGACACTGTTTATTATGTACTCACACAGCGCCTTGCTCATCGAAGCGCTTGCTACAATAATGACACTGTTTATGATGTACTCACACAGCGCCTTGCTCATCGAAGCGCTTGCTACAATAATGACACCGTTTATGATGTACTCACACAGCGCCAAATACACTGCAGCGCTTGTTACAATGATAACACTGTTTATTGTGTACTCACACAGCGCCATATATACTGCAGCGCTTGTTACAATAATAGCACTGTTTATGATGTACTCACACAGCGCCATATACACTGAAGGACTTGATACAATAATAACACTGTTTATTATGTACTCACACAGCGCCATGCACACTGAGGCGCCTTCCTTCGCCTCGACGTGCATTGAGATCGCAAGCGCGAGGAATCCCGCGAAGTTGGCGCTCACGTACGAGATCAGAATCCTGCCCGCCAATGTGTTCATCTGCACGCGTGTGGGATATGATAAAATAATTTATTCAATCGAATACATTATGATAGGAAATATAAGCTTGAAATACGATAAACTCCATTATAATGCGGCATTTGAAACATTCCGGCGTACATTGCGTAATACATGCGTATTTTTTAGTAATATACAAGACGTCAGTGGCAATGTTCAAGGAATTTTTAGTTCTGTTGAATTTATTATCTATATCTACATGTAAACATGCGTTAGACACAAGCACGCGTATGTTACTTCTTAAATCAGAATGATGAACAGAATTGGACACTGAAATACACTTTTACAATACAGTGACAAATGGGTGATATTTTGATATTTGAAGTACTGTTCTCTCTTTTCAGGCCATTTTCAAGTCGATCGCGTACATGCTTTCAGCTACTCAATTGGTATGCAAATCGATTGTTTATTTTTACCTGTAGAAAATAAAAGTAAAATTCAAATGTTTCATGGAAAGAAATTATATTGAAAGTAGGAAAAGTTAAGTGCCAAAACAACCCAGACATTATAGAGAACTTTATCAGTAAATTAAATAAGAAGCAAATATTATTACCTTCTTAACGGTGACCAGTCCTCTTCGCACGCGCATGCAGACGAGGCTGACCAGGGCTATGAGGAGGCTACAACAGGAGACTGCCAGCAGAGCTGACGTGAGGTTATATTTTTCCGAATGATATTTGTTGGAAGTTTCAGGGGGTGCGCATACTACTGCAGACGCCAGTTCGGGCTCCTCGGCATCCCAGCCGTAATCTAAGCAAAATTCCACGTTATCCAAAGCAGTTTCTTTTTCGACACATCGGCCATCCATGCTCACGACATAGAGTTGTGAATCGGATTTAAAAACAACATGGTCTCCTGAATTTGGGTCAAAGTTGTACAAATGATACTGGCCGGATTCGCAATGAGGGAAGCCGGTATACCCCAACTTTGTGATATTGACTACTGCAAGTAGTGGATCCTCATCAAGGATATGTACGCTTTTGCCAGGACTGCAATCCCTTTCTATGGGTGACAAGTGAGACTCGAAAGGACAGCATTTACCAACTGTTCCTCGGTCAAAAACGGATAACGGCAAAGACACAGATTGCTTTAGTTCTTCAGTGCAAACGTGAGCAATCGTGATAACTTGTTCATTCTCTACAGAATCATCAATGCAATAGTTCCTTGTAAGCATCTGATTTCGACCAGAGTCAATTGAGAGATATCCAGAGTTTGTGACCCACCAACGAACGTTTAGAGAATTCAATAGCAGGTGAACGCACACGTCGCTCGTGTCAAAAGGGAATCCAGTTTGTGTGTGCAAAGTAGCCATTAATTGTGTCAGGTACGGTGAGAGAGGGTCATCTGAATCCTTGCACATATTGTTCTCGAGTATTTGGTGAGGAGGGCAGCACTTCTTGAATGAACTGAGAGGGCAGTAAGCCGCCATCGGTTGTGTATGAAATCCATCTTGTTCTTGAACGTATTCGATGCAGTAAAGGCTACTGGGGTAACAAGGACCACTGCTTTTTATACAAAGCTGGTCAACAGAATTTAAATAAGCCTCGCTGGAACTGAGAAGATCGGAGATACCAGACTTGCAAGTTAAAATGGCGGTCACTACTGACGTCGAATCGGTGAAAGAGCCCGAAAACTCTCGCACCAAATCTTGAACTCCTGGCATGTTTTCTTCATTGGGTATGCATACTCTCTGACTTGCATCAAAATAGTGGTCCAGAGGGCAGCATTTGCGGACCATAGAAGTAGGGGTATCGTGCTCCTCTTCAATGCAAAAAGCTGCAGTTAAAACAGCTGTTGGGACATCTTGTCCGACCATTTCTAAACAATAGGATTCTTCATCAAAATGTGTCGCCAGCGAGACGTCATACAAGGAGCCCATGTCCAGTAAATGAGTGTAATTGGAAATTCCAACTTGGATTTTTGGAGGCTTACCGGTTAAAGGACAGGCACTTTGACGACCATAAATAAGTTCAATGCTTACTGACTGGTTACCAAGCATTAGTTCGCGCGTATAGTATTCGAATTGAGTCTCTTCTGAAGTATCCAGGCAACTTTGACTTTCTAAACTGAAAAACTGTGTTGCAGAACAACATTTGCGGATGGCTGGCACATGATTTTCGTTTAATTGGAATGAAATTTCATCTCCATCATAAGGTAGAGGCTCAGGGTCACTATACACTACGTGCTTAGGGATAACTACTGTAGCATTATAAATTGAAGTAGAATTATACAATGAATCACCCCCGTCGACGAAATCTTCATACTCATCCTCGGTCTGTGGTGCTTCAGACGTAGATTCTACGGTAGAGTTCTCCATGTCGGAGAGTAGACCACCTTCTTTTTGGGAATCAAGGTCGGGCAAACTCTTAGAGTAACTTTTTAATGATTCAGTGGAAGTTTCATGTAAATTTGTTAAATGTTTGCTTTTGTAAGTAGTTGTTTCAAAGGATTCATTTCTCTGCCGAATTTGAGCATTGAAATCTTGTTCCGAGTGAGCTTTATCGCTAAGTCCAAATAGGGCATCCTGAGGTACAGAAGAATTTAGTTTCGCTTCCAATTCGTTCCGTGATACTTTGGCATGTAAATGGTACACAAGAGTTTTGAGAAGCTGATTTTCTCTCAGTAACTGGAAGAAAATTTCAGTTGCATTGATGTTTGAGGTTTTGGTTTCATTGAGGGGCAATACTTGTGAACTGTTCGAGACAATGTTGCTTGTTTGGAGCATTTGTTCGCTCGAATGTTTGAACGGAGACTTCCCAGAGATTTTTTGAACCATAAAGACCGTCGTATCCTCGATGGAGGGTAAAGTTGAACCTTCAACGTTTGGTTTTAAAGAGCGTTCATCGTCTTTTTTGTGGAAAGCCAATGATCTTCCTTCTATAGGTTTACTGCGTATTGGATTCGAGTTTATAACTTCCATTGCTAACGACGGTGCTCGTGTGTCTCCTCTATCAACATGCACGTTGTCTGCTAATTCTTCCTGAATGTCTATGGAGCCATCAACTTGTGTTTCCAACGTTGGCTTACGGGTATTTAATTCAGTCTCATCAAATCTATCGGTGCTGACTCTTTCGGAAACCCGGGTGCCTACGAGATATTCAAGCTCGTATTCGCTTGAGGTCGTCTCTACAATTGGAATGGCCTCAGTGGCGACCGAAGAAGCATATACCTCACTTTCAGCTCCCAAATGAAGCCCTCCTATGCGACTCTCCCTGTCCCCATTGGCTGCATCTAAACTGCTTTTCGACTCTTGCAGGTAATTTTCGTGTTTAGTTGTTTTTTCCGAAGCTCCGCTGGCCTGCCTATCGCTTGAAGAAATATTTGTATAATCGTTGATCCAAAAAGTTTGTTGAACTTGTGAACTCTCATTATTACTGAATTCTCTATCGAAATTATTTTCTGACATCGCTAATTTAATTAAAGGTGTTTCGGTCGGTAGTAAAGGCACTCCGCCCTCAAGGCTCTGTTCGCTTGTATTGCCTTCATCTCCTGTGGCTGGCGCACTCGTGCTGCTGGCCACAAAGCTTTGATTGTTTTCTCCGTCGTCGTAATCTATTCCAAGACTTGCCGAGTCAGGGCTCAGGCCCGTAACCGTCTTAAAAAACGTCACACTTTGATCCGCTGAATCTCCCGAGTGAATTTCAGGTCCCGTCAAAGCCGATTCTATTTTTCTAACATTTGCTGCTATATTTTTGAGGGGGTGCTTCTCTGCGTTGACATGGTGCTTCGAGTTTTCGACTGATGATTCAAATGTTTCGTACGCTGGAGTCACATTTAGTTCTGCTATTACAGAAACATTTACATCTGCCTGGATGTTTTCTGAATTCTCACTGCTAAATTTATTCGCAATCTCGATCTGTGGTAATTCTTTACCAAATGATTCTGTGTCATTTGCATATGTGAATGAGTTTGTTGCGTTGACATTAAAGTCTACTTTGTTAGCCGCTTGTTCTGATAACTGACGGTTTGTATCGGATTTTCCGTCAAAATTTCCATTTCCTGAGTTCACTTCATCGTCTGCATTCAAAAGGTTAGATTTAAAATCAATTTTCAGCGAATCATTTCCAGCTACTAAAAAACATATAAGTAATAAGACACGTTTTATATTTTTCATTTTGTGTATATATATTATGTTTTCACTTCTTCCTACTCAATTTGAAACATCCTTCTGATATAATTTCGCACCTGTAATAGAGATTCATGAATAACTTGAATGGTAGAATTGGGTATTTTATTTATATACTTTCTGAACAACCTGAAGCCAAAGTATGTCTCGCATGGCTGAACGAGCGGCATTTGAGAAATGTTTAACGATAAATAAATCTTATACCTTGTTAATAGAATTGTAATGCAACTGTAATGTTTTTTCAATAACCGATCCTCTAATCTGTAAATGTTGTTGAACATTACACGCAAAAACTTACTTAACTGTTATTTTATTACTTAACTCTGGAAACAGGTCGGGAGCCGGGTCATACTTCAACGAAAGTTTTCACATTTACTCAAACGTTAGGTAATCACTGCACGCTATTTGGAATCTCTATTTTGTAATTGGTTATTCAGCTCTGTTCCTTACATTGAATATAAGTATTCCCGAGATGATTAAATGAAGAACGAAACACTTAGCGTTGAAGTTTAAGGCGAAATTGTATTGCCAATTTTTTCTTCGATCCCTACTCGATGTATCTGGACCAAAAGTGATAATAGTCAGCTAGCTGCACATAAATGAATTGTAGTTTATAATTAATTTCGGCAAAGGCCTATATGTTAGAAAAAAATATATATGTTAGAGGATATCTGAGTAAACTTTTCGACAGTGTACTCGCACATATTCGTCCACGTATTATTATGTCACACATTAAATTTAATTGTTTTGAATTTTGGTCCATAGTCATTAGCTGTTCATTTTAAGGGAGGCTTGTCTAATATAATTCACGAAAGACGATCTAAAAACTGCAAGTGTGAATTGGTCGTCAAAGACATCGAATTTCAACCAGATTGCAAAGAAGTGTTGTGTAAATTACAAGTATTTTTGTTCATCAAGTATTTAGAACCTTCAATTATCTCCAGCAAGCGAAGACATGCTTACCGTAATAACGTTTACTGGCGTCATTTGTGGAGAAGTTTAGGAAAAATCAAAGCTGTATACAATACGTGAGGTGCTCTATGGAAGAGACAGGGCAAAATAGTCCGATTGAAAATACAATTTCATTTTGAAAATTGCTGGGCCTTGTGGCTCAACAAATATCTTTACGCTTTTCATTTCTAATTCAAGGGACCTCATGTGTGTATTTTATGGGTGTAAAAAAATCCTGGGAAAGCATATGCTTCGAATTCCAACAATTTCACGGAACTACACAAAACAATTTCGTCCATATTTAAATTTGTCTCGCAATTCATGGTCTCAGAAAAAAATATGGCTAGGCTTGCAATGATATTTCTGTGATTGATACATCAGTCATATTTTAATCCAACGTCCACATGATAGGGCTACGGAAATAACGAAAAATGTAAGACTACATAAATCAAATTCACTACATTAAGAGGAAAAATTAGGAATGTAAGACTACATAAAACGAATTCACTAGCATTAAGAAGAAAAATAAGTAATGTAAGACCACATAGAACGAATTCACTAGCGTTAAGAGGAAAAATAAATGTAAGACTGCATCGAACAAATTCGTTAGCGTTAAGAGGAAAAATAAGTAATATAAGACCACATAGGACGAATTCATTAGCGTTAAGAGGATAAAAAAGGAATATAAGACCACATCGAACAAATTCGTTAGCGTTAAGAAGAAAAAACAGGAATGCAAGACTACATAGAACGATTTCACTAGCGTTAAGAGGAAAAATAAGGAATGTAAAACCACATTGCACAAATTCAATAGCGTTAAGAAGAAAAATAAGGAATGTAAGACCACATCGAACAAATTCAATAGCGTTAAGATGAAACAATGCTGCTGTCCGACATGCCGCGAGCAGCGGTAATGACCGTGAAGCTTGAACTCGCTTCCTTATTGCTCGTTCGCAGCTCACGCGCCTCAACTCGTCGAAGCAGCGTGCGCCTGCTGAATATTTTAACTACCGCCGTGCGTATCGCAGGCCATTAAACGGCCAACAGTTGGCCGTTGATGACCAGCGTGTACCAGCTGAATATTGACAAAATTACCGTCGTACATATCGCTGGCCATTAACCGGCCAACGGTTGGCCGTTGATGACCAGCGTGTACCAGCTGAATATTGAAGAAATCACCGTCGTACGTATCGCAGGCCATTAACCGGCCAACACTTGGCCGTTGATGACCTTGCTTGCAATTCAAACTGGGACGATATCAGCAGGTTAAAGGAAACATGATCGCCTTTCAATTCCCTGAATTAAGAAATTGTGGGAACCATCTTAGCATCCATGCAGCTCAAGATTTTTATACAGTTTTAAACGTGCATGAATGTTTATTAATCAAATTTGATATACTTATTAAATATTGCAAATGAAAAACATTTTCTTAGTTGCCCGTGGGCTGGTAAGAATTGGTTTTAAAAGTTACAAATTAGCATTTTCGGCCAATAAATACAAGTTTTGCTTTTTACAAAATATATAGGTGCATAGTGGATTAAAGACTCCCAATCCATTCTGATACACAAGATGATATCATTTTATTGGTGATTGTACGTAGTTCTGCATCGTTTCAAGTCATATTCATGATCAGCCAGTATACAAAAAAAATATCATTTCAACGTTCATGATTTAATCGATTTGTATAAACATTCCGATGACCCGGGAGTTTAACGGAAAAGTTTACGGACTCGCTGATGGAGAAATCGGTCTCTGCGGGCTCATTATCGCTGAGTCATATATATAGCCGAATCCCAAACGTGCTCGAATATAGGCAACGGTTGCCTTATACGTGATTATAGAATCAATTGTAGATTTTGTAATTAATGAACCCAGCAATAATCACCCCATCAAAAATATCAATTAGATAGCTTCTTATTTGCAGACATATCATTGCCAACGAAGTAAACAACGTTTGAATCCGTTTATAATAAAATCCGTTTGAATCCGTTTATAAGAATCCGTTTATAATAAAATAACGATTATAATAAAATAACGTTTATAATAAGACAATGTTTGTGATACGAAAACGTTTGTGATTAGACAGCGTTTATGATAAAACAACGTTTGTGATAAGACAATGTTTGTGATAAGAGAACGTTTATAATGAAACAACGTAGGGTAACATGGGGCAGCGAGCCCACTGCGGGTCATGGGCCCATAGCGGGTTTCTCGCTAAGTATTGCAGATATTGGTCCGTGCTCTCTACCGCCGGTCGACAGTTTCACTGGGGTGAAGTGTACGGATTTACGTTTTGCTAAGTGTTTGCGTTATAAAGATATTTGTGGATAACTGTTTCAGCCCAGATAAAGGTTTTTTTGCTGCTAAATAAAACTGTTATCGATTACTGTAGATGAAGCTTTTGAAATTACTGTGAATTATATTCTGGAAGTAATATCGATAGGGATAATTTTGAGATCAAGTTTAGACTATTCGCTTTTAAAATAAAATGTTGACACGATGTAAATTGAAAGGATACCTAGTGGGGCAACGGGCCCACACGTGTCACGGGGCAAAGCGCCCATGGGGAAGTCTTGGGTTATACATCATTCGATTTGTCTCGATGACCTTTTCAAAACTATAACTAGCTTTTGAATTACCAATCACACTTCATATTTCATGATTTTTCTATTTACCGCCTCAAGGCAGCAGGTTTAGTTTCTAGTTATGCGTATTTATGACCCCTTATCGAGTTATTGACTCTTGCCTTGCCAAAAGTTGATTTCAGTCAACACCAATGAGCCAAAAGTTGATGAGAGTTTTTATGATGTTAGCTGAAATCACGATTAGGTACGAATTTTCTGCACATTATATCTGGATTATGGACGAAACTGGAACGAAGCTTTTTTTTTGATCAACTAAATATATTTTTTCTAGTCAAGGACGAATTTTTTTATCGCAAGGATATATTTTTCAAGTCAAGGATATATATTTTATGTTAATGAAATATTTATCTTCACGTCAGTGATAGATTTTTAAAGCCAAGGGTATATTTTTTTCATGGTAAGGATATGATTTTTTGAGTTGTTAATAAATGAATGAATGTCATATTTTCTAATACATTTTTTTCTTATTTTTAATTGTAAAGTGTTGTTTTATCATTTTTAAACGAAAATTATGTAATTGCGGTAAAGGGACCAAGGGTGGGCGCCTTGCCCCAAGCCCATGGGCCCATTGCCCCAGCCCCTCAAGGGGGACTTCTGACGTGTGTCTGTGCGCGTCAAAAGCCCTATGGGATTTCGCGCTCCTAGGGGGATTGTTCCTGAGCGCCCCACCGCTGAGCTCGCTGTGTCTGACTGCAGATCTCAGTTGTGGGGTTAAGTTATTATGTAGGTAGGATTCCTTATATTTCCCTTCTCTGTCTCTCTCGTGCGGGCGGCCAACGTCCCGTGCAAGCGACCTCTTGTTCGAGTGTCTTCGTTTCTGTTGCTTTTCACCTGTCCCTCCTTGTCACTTCGTTTCTTTGAGATGCTAACGCTGCTTCTTTCGAGCCAGCTTCAGCGGGCTGGACATCTGAGACCTTCCACCCCTTGTGGGTGATGACCAATTTCGATTTGAGAAACTTTTGATAATTTGAGACCTTCCACCTCTTCGGTGATGTTCAACATGACTTTCGGTGCGAGGTAGCTAAATAGCTGAAGCGCTAGTAAACATGTGGCCACTAAACTAAACTAACTAACCATAGCCCCAGGGGTGGGGCAATGGGCCCATTTTGACACTTTTTACAAGATAGTGTTTCATTAAAAATTGAATAACTCTATAGGCGCCTTATTCACATCATACGTTCCTCATTGGTTGCCCCTTTAAACAAAACAAAGAACCACCTCGTATCAATTAAAACTTCATCAAAAATTTAGTTTAAAAAAGGGGGGGGCGCTGCCCCATGTTGCCCTATGTACCAAGTTATATAGTGATTAATCAACGTTTATACTGAAATCACGTTTGTAATAAGACAACGTTCGTGATAAGATAACGTTTGCAATTAGACCTCGTTCATAACAAGAAATAATTTATAAAAATTGACACATCGATTTTTTCTTAATTAACCATGAGATGACATTTGTTTGAG